GTTAATAGATTTATTCTGCTATCGGTATAAATTTGTTAGTTGAACTAAATATTAGGTGGATTGTCGTTTTTTAAATAGTAATGTCAACTCAGCCCATCGCTGCTCCTCTATTAATTATCCTAAATTTACGAAGAATGTATTACTTTATTTCATTTGGATACGCACCAAGACTGTGATTATGTAGTTTCTTGCTCATTATGAAGTTTTTTTAAAAAATTCTGTCAGTGACATTCTACTGATAGCTGAAAAATATTAATTTAAGGACATGTCACGGTACAGGGGCTATTTATACTTAATTGTAAAATAAGCGTGGTTGAAGATCTCCGCTAGGCCTACTGATCGGTGTTCAAATACGTATAACGTAGTACACTAGATCATTCTTCATAAGATATTATCGTTTCATTTTTTATTGTTACTGTCAATTGTCTCGTTTTTGTTACCGTTTTCCTTTTTTTAATTCTTCTATTGTGCATTATTATTTGAGCTTCGTCACCGTCACACCCTCTCAGCCAATTCATGGTTATAAAGCCATGCCTTCAGAATACATACATTTTAAGAGGATTAACAAAACGGAAAAATTTTTTTTATTTTCTTCCAGAGTAAAGAGGCACTTTAATTTTTAAGAACACGGTAACATTCTTGGAATAATAAAGTCAAAATATATATACCCCTGATGTATCTACTTTACAAAACTTTTATCATACCCCTTAGATCACACCCATTTTAAATGTCTACTTCAATTATGTGACAGATTCTATCTTCTGGCACTGCAATAATATGCTTGTGCCATATACTCTCTACATTTTAATATATATCATTGGTGTATTGATAAAATGAACATATGTAGTGGCGTCTACAGAACTCATTTGTTTTTAAAAAATCCATTATATCTAGTGTGAATGGTTTGAATGATCTATTAAATAATGATAAAAAATTAAAAAACTTTGAAAACAACAAAACTTTACGATCATAATAGATCTATTACGCTGGAAAAAAACTCCAAACTGAAGACTATATATTATAATTAATTAATGATTGTAATCAGGGATCCTACGCTTCACTGTTAGTGAAGAATGACAATAAAAACCTTCTAACTCAACTGGCTACCTAAGCAGGTTCAAAGAACTACTGACCCTGAATCTTCCTCTTTTTATAATATTCTATTTTGTACAGTCTTATAGATTCAAACATGACTGATCTATTTGTAATGCAAAGAGAATATATTGTGGTAGTCTTTTGGGAAACGCTCAAATTCAATAGTTTCTATTAAGTTATGTTGAAAAAAGATATATGTGAATTAGTTCCTCGAATGTGCTTAAAGAAAAACGATTTTCCAGTATTTTCCATATTGTATATAAACCAAGGTATAAACTTTTTCTTTCAATGTATAATAAATTACACATTATATGGATGTAACTTAATAACTTCCAGTAAATACTAGAAATATACAAAAGGTTATTCATATTGCTCTTAGTCACAACTATTGAATAGAGGAATAAAAAAAATAACTTAGTGATGTAAGTAGGGCAGAGATGATATATACAAAGGTATAGAGTTTAATCCAGTAAAAATAGTGCAATTCTCTTGTTAACGTTTTGAGTTTGGTGATTGGCTTTTCACAGGACTGACAAGTGCCGGAGTTCAAACTGTGTAATCTGACCGCTGAGTTTCGGAAGGCGATGGATACCTTAAGATGAACAAAATGTCACAGTTAAAACTGTCTTGTTTTTTCCCGCTTTACTCTCAACAGAGAGCTTAAAGTGCCGCGTATTTATGCTGTTCACTAAAATTATATTACGAGTATAAATGGATTTAGAATATTTGAAAATACTTGAGATTCTACCTGTTTTTCTCTCGTACTAATTTTGATTGACGAATTACTGTTTCAGGTCAGCACTGTACAATTACCAAACGTCCAGAAGAATGTTGATAGACAAGACCCCGTTCCTAGCGTTCTTGAAGTGTGATATTTTCTTGCAGCTATTATGGCATACACAACAAATATAGCTAATATAGCTATTAGTATTAATATAAGGAAATCAATATATCCGTTAGTTCTAAATATTAAAAATTGAATTTTAGTCTGACGTATGAAGTATGAAAGTGCTAAGCCTACATGTGTGTTTTAGATTTTGCTTCGTCCAGCCGAGCTCTGTGATTACATTCGCAGCAACTCACTTCATTCACTGCTCCAATAAGGCTCACCTTTTGTTTATCTTTATATCTGCAAAATAAAAGTCTTATGTCCTCACACAAGAGTTGCACATCCGTCATTCTCTCAAAAAAGTACAAGATAAAAACGAAAAAACAGTTTTAACTTAAAATTTTGATCATATTGAAAAAAAATAAAAATTTTTTATAAGTCAATAATATTAATCCTTTTTAATATTATTGTTACTTTGTTTCAAATTATATATAAAAATCCTTCATACAATTCAAAGAATTATGTCACATATATGTGATTTTAAGTTAATCGTATATACGTAAGTTCTTATAGAATCGTTACCCATTAACAACGTAAGAACAGAATTAATTAAATATATGAACTCCATTTCTTTTAAATAAACTGAATTATACAACAATTTTTATAACTAAAAACAAGATCAATATAAATTTGTATTAAAAATTTTTAATATAAATTATATGTCAATTTTCTAAAAATAAATTTTTACTTGTCTGGCAATGGTTACTTTTGGAGTTTTCGATTGGTAAATCTGGAGTAAAATTTTCAATCGAGATGAGCTTTCAGTGCAATTTTCATTTTCGATTGGTAAAAGTGGCAAAAAATTTATAACAATCAAAATTAATTTTCAACACTCTAGATATATTGCCAGAGTATCAAGATTATCGGGAAATTAACAGCTGTTTTATATGACTTGACAGATAAATTGTGATTTCATTCGACATACATATGTATTATATATACAAAAAATAATAATGTTTACTAAAACTATTACAAAAATGCAAGATTACTCTTAAAATGTTCAAATGGGCAACAAAATTTAACAGATCGAAAATAAATCTAGATTGAATCCAGATTTGTCAATCAAAAACGTTTTTATATAAAAGTGGTCTTCATCCTGAAATTATATGCATAATCAGTTTTATTATAACAAAATTCCACGCTCAGCTCCAGGTTGTTTGATATGCCGAAATCATTCACGTGGCCTGTCGGGCTGCCATAATGGTTCGGTACGCCTGTCGCTTGAAGTTGCCATAAGCGTTCTCGAGCTCGTCAACATCCCTGTCAGTTCTGTTTGAATTTCTGTTATCCCAGCTGGGATGTTAGTGTGGAAAGTTAGTGTATCGTTGTTGAGGAGAGCTTCTAGTTCATTTGGGAGCATTTGCAAGCACGGCGGCCTCTATGCTGATACGAAATTTATATTTCCAAGCTGGCTTTCGACCGCTACAGATGTTACTTTGAGCGTTTGTAGGTTGTTGATTGTAGCATGGAACTGTGAGCATGATTTTGGTTACTATATAAACATTTGGACATATTTCCTCTAAATTATATTATCTAATATACTGGATAAGTTGTTGATTGATCGTTTATTGAGTCTAGTGAATTCGATAAGAGACAAACAAAATCATTTTTTCTCTGGTAAGTGTAGTTAAGGTTTTAAGATATAAGATTTAAGGTCGCCCTCGTCGCAGACGTCTAGCAGCGCCACTGTCTAAGAAAAGTTACCTACATATATAAAAGTCGGTTATTTTGTGAATAACTCATATTATTTACAGTACTTTACTTTGTAATGTAAGTAATGAAAGGAAGCTTGTTACCTTTCTCATGCCTGTTTATTATATATTGCAGAAGTTTAATAGGTTCCAAAAATGTTAACCATAGATTTAATTTTGATTAAGATTTTGTATTAAAGTTATAATTTTCTTAACATTCTATTTTAATATTCAAATTAATTACATGATATGTATGATACATTTTCTATACAGGTTAGGTCATACCGGCGATCCCTGGGGATTCACTTAGGCATATTGGCCCATTGTGTTACCGTGTATATAGGAATAACTCAGATTTAAAACCCTGGCTAAACCTAAAATGCTGTTCAATGTCAGGTCTTGTAATTGATCACGATCCTCAAGAAAAGAAACTCCTAAAGTGTTTAATGGCCACCGTGCATGAGCTGGGTAAAAAAATAGTAGATGAGAGGAACTCTCATCGTCTTCTCCACATCTGCGACAGGTTTGATTGAAAGGGAGATTTAATTGTCTAGCATGGTTCTCTAGTTTCTATAACTAACTCAAGGGACTTATGATATTTTTTACATAATCTAGTTTGTTTTAAGTTTTGCTATTTAATACAACCTAAAATCAATTGAAATTTTTTAGAGTACATTGAAAAAATAGATATTATCAAAATAGTTTTATTAAAACCTGATATATATATTATATTTTCTATATCATCTTATTTGTTTAAACTTTTCCTTTTCAATGATTTTCATTTCAATTGGCTTCGCAAATTCTTAGAGTAATTTAAAAACACAAGTATGGTAAGAACGTTTTTACTAAAATCTGCATAATGAGGAGTTTTTATTTTTATGCGACTTTCCTACAAATAAAATTTAGTGTATATAGTAATTTTAATTTATTTATTCGTTATTATTTTTCTTTAAATATGTAATTTAATTTTAATATATATATATACAAACAATTTTTGAAAATAAAGAGCTATATGCTATTTGCTTTATCAACTCGATATAAAATAGTTTTAAAGGCGAAATGAATTTAGTGTATATTGTGTACGTAAAATATTTCAGTGTTGTGTAAAACTTTTTATATAGAAGAGAACTTTATTTTAAACATTAATGAAATTTAATTATTGGTGAGATTCATAAAGTCATAAATATTGTGTAACAACACAATAAAGCAGAATAACAGCAGTAAAACACTTATCAGAAATAATGAGGCGAAAATACAACTGTGTGTACAGATTCGATTGAAAATGTTAAAAAGTATTGCTGTCACACTCTTGTGTTCTTTGCGAAAACTGTTATTGTATGTGTGGTATCGTACAGAAAACTTTTTCAGACGGAGTAAAATTTGTGAATATAATTTTAATTAAAAAATAGATTTTTTTATAAATGAAATGTTAAAAATGTATGTAAAACTCGAATTGTGATCGAATACCAATAATATCAATAAAATCAATTAATGCATATGGATGGATGAAAATCTACTGCTACTGGAAAAAAACTTCAGGAAATTTTGTTCTCCTTAAGAAAAAGATTGCTAACGATAAGTCAAAATGAAGGAATAAGAAAATGAATTTAGTTATATGTTTAAAACGGTAAATAGTAAAGAAAAACACGTATCAACAATAGTTTTTTTTAAAAAGGTAAGGTATTATAGTGATCATGAAATAATTTAATAAAATCATATTCAGGTTAAAATGGTATTCATTTATATATACATGCATGCTTCTGAAAACGGTTTAAATACATGATTGTTCGGTTTCTGGACAGACGCCGCCATTTTCATCGTCGCTGACGAACAGCGTACCCATTTTTTGCTAATTCGCCGCGTTAGCACGAGATGGTTAGTTATTTGTATGACACTGATAAAGTAAAGAAATGGGATAACACCACTAATCAATGAAATTTTGTTGATTTTTAAGTTTTCTTTGTTAACATTTTCCATGCTTTGAGACGTATATATGTTTTTTTTTTTTGCGATAATATGATCAGCTGAGTTACATGTAAAACATGATTTCAAGTAGTTTAAAGAATTTAGTAATAAAATTCACGACAATTTGTGTGATATAGAAAGCATGCAGAATGTGTAATACATGAATATTATGAATACATTTTTTGTTTATTAATTAAATTAATGCAAACCAATTTGGTGCACAGACAGTGCTTTTGCAAAATAACAACGAACGCTGTAATTAAAAAAAAAAAGAAGAAACAACTGCTTTGCAATAGATGATTGTTTTCATGTGCAGTTTCGGTGATTTTCGTTTCTTTCTACATTATTCTTAACGCCATTTTCGTCTCTTGAAAGTTGTGCTTGTGTGTTTTTTAATTAAATGTTAACGTAAACTTAAAGAAAAATTAATGCGTTAAACATAAATAATATTAATCAATTTTTACGTAATAAAAAGGTATATAAGTTTGCAAAACTATTTGAAAAAAGAAATATAGATTAATATGCAATAATAAGATTTGTAAAAAAAAAAATCTTATACAACTGAATAAGATGTGGTATTTGAATTTTGATAAAAAAATTTTTACGCTGCTATTTAATACGCATTTAAGTAAAATGTGTATAAAATAAACCATAATATGAGTTCATGGTTGTATCGCTGCATCCCTTCCACCGACAGCTGTTTTTCTTTTGTTCATAAAATTACTCAAAATATTGAGTGTCTGTTTATTAACGTATAGCTGTCTCACTTGCACAATAGGCAGTTTCATTTTATTACAGGTAGCACTGTGTTAAGCATATTATTTTACCTGTCTGTTATTCGAGTAAAAAAAATTATACAGTGCACGCTCCAATATTTAACCAATTTGAGTTTAAAGCACTTTAATTGCTTATTAAATTATATACATATTTATGGGTTGTAATGCTTTTTAAATTAAATTTTTTTTTTTTTTAAATAAAATATAACTAATGATTATTTATAAATATTTCTAGATAAGACTATAGCAATGGTTGTTGGTTCAAATCATGGTCGCCGTGGAGAGAATGGTGGTAAATGCGGGAATTCTACGTCAACAGTAGCCTCATCAGCAGTAGTGAGTACGAAGTCACAGTCTGTATCAACAAACGGTGCCTCGAGTGGACATAACAGCCAGCAAAATGATTTATCGAATGGCTATTTCGCAAGTTATTCCGGCAGTATATCCGCGGGTAACATTGTGGGACGGTTATCTACAAATGGGATGACACCTAAAGAACTTTCCGAAAATGATGACTTAGCAACATCGTTAATACTAGATCCGCATTTAGGGTTTCAGTCGCATAAAATGAACATACGTTATCGTCCATTAAAGGTTGACAGAGCTCAGTTAAAATCAATAGTTGATGAATTTATACAAACACAAAGCTACGATGTAGCTGTGCGGAAAGTGTTCAGCGGGCCATGGATACCTCGAAGCTACAAAAATAAGAGTAAAATATTGTTGAAGCGATTACACGATCATGTAAGCCAAATGCTCTTTGGTATTTTGTATAATTAATAAAATAATTTTTATTTTAGATATTACGTTATTTGCGAGTTTTTGATAAAGACAGTGGGTTCGTTATAGAAGCTTGTTATCGCTATTCATTGGAAGGGCAGAAAGGTGCAAAAATCAGTTCAACCAAACGCTGGGCAAAAAACGATAAAATTGAATGTTTGGTCGGCTGTATAGCTGAGTTAACGGATGTGGAAGAGAAGGCTTTGTTACATCAGGGCAAAAATGATTTTTCTGTGATGTTTAGTTGCCGTAAAAACTGTGCCCAACTTTGGTTAGGACCAGCTGCCTACATTAATCACGACTGCAGAGCAAATTGCAAATTTGTTGCTACAGGCAGGGACACTGCTTGCGTTAAAGTATTGCGTGATATTGAGGTAGGCGAGGAGATAACATGTTTTTATGGAGAGGATTTCTTTGGCGATGGTAACTGTTATTGTGAGTGTGAAACTTGTGAGCGGAGGGGCACTGGCGCTTTCGCTGGTAAGCGTTCAAATGGTTTCATAGGAGGGGATTCTGCAATGGCAATAGGATTGAATGGTTCATGTGTTGTTGGTGTTAATCCGCATGATCCAACAGCTAACAGCGGATATCGATTAAGAGAGACTGATAATCGGATTAATCGTATAAAGAGTCGCACTAATTCAACTAATTCCACTCCTGCCGATTATAATGGTTGCCACAGCTCGGATGCCAGCAATTCAAGCTCTTCTTCTAGTAATTGTAAAAAGCCTGCGGGGAACTGCATGTCGTTAGCAGAAGACGAGAATGAAAACAGCAACAAGAAATCACCGGCGGTCGTTGTAACTCCACTCACAATGAAAGAATTGCGACAAAAGGGCATGACAAAATATGATGCTGAAATGGTGATGGCAAACACTTACCCACATCGTCATAATCATAGCACGCAATCAATATCCACGGAAATAAGTAATGATATATTAACGCAAAATTCAAATGATGTAACTAATATCAAATTAACGAGCCAAGCCGTGCTTAGTATAAATCATGAAAACCTTAGGAAATCATCACGCGTTAATAGCACCAGTAGCACTATTTCATCAGCATCAACCGAGGATTTTTCTAGCATCGCATCGCGTGCGTCAACAAAAAACACAGCCGATGAGCCAAAAATGAGTGCGGCCATTATTGTACACACAAAACCACAAAGACGTAAAGTCCATAAATCTGACTCTAGCCTAAAAGCACTTGCGTCAGTAAGGAGTACAGGTAGACAAACACGATCAAGTGCGGTGGTGAACACAAATGAAGATGCTATGGAAACTGATTCTGATGTAGAACAAAATGGTGATGATCAACATTTATATGACATTGATGAATTAGAAGAAGATAATGAAGCAGAACCGAACAGAAATCATCTTCAAGATATACAATCATATAAAAATTGCCTACACAATGTACACCAAAACACAGCTACAGATCATTCCGCTAGTGTATCAAATCTAATAGCTACTGATGAAAATAGTCTGAAACTAGCCAACACGAATACACAACAATATCGAATAACTCGAAACGGTGTACTGCGCACAGCAGTCAATACTACAGAGCGCGTGCTGCGTAACCAACAGAGCGCGGTGATAGCTAACGTAGCGGATTCCGAGGACAAAATAACTGCCGCAACAACAAGGAATTCTAATAATAGCAATAGTAAATATAGTAAAAATATGAATGTAAAGGGAACACATGGGACAGGTGAAATTAATTTATCGCCTGGTAAACGTAGTAAGACAGTATCAATGCAACAACAGTATCATCAGTCATCGCACCCACTAACGCCAGAAACCGACTTAAGCTTAACACATCATATAGGAAGCAGTGGGGGTAGTAGTATGGGCAGTAATATTAGCGCTTTAAGCCAATGCAGTAGTACTCTTAGCAACAGTATCAGCAGTAGTAATAGCAGGCAGAATGGTAATTCAAGTTACAGGAAAAACTTGATTGAATCTTTTGACGAAGTTGCCAAAAATACAAAAACGCATATGTGCAAGGAAGCGGCACCTGAAAGTGAAAATGTTTATAATAATTATCAAAGTACAACACAGCGATTGACTCGCAATGTGAGGCGTGCTTCTAACTCACAAGATGCGGCTTTGGAAAATTCTACAGTTCATCATAAGCGGATACATACGAATAAAGAAGACAACTGTAAGGAGTTGGCAAATGCACTTTCACATGTTCATGCTGTAGAGCCGCTATTGAAAACACCTGAACGTCGTTTGAAACTGACGCTGCGTATGAAACGATCCCCTGTATTGGATGAAGTTATTGAGTCTGGTACAAGTCTTAGCGATGAAAGTAATAGTTATCATAGTTCGAGTCGTGGTTCAACACATTCCGAGCCAGTCGAGTATGAAATATTACGAATGGAAGGCATTTCAGAAAATGGTAATGAATTGGATACACTGCCACTAAAACGTAAAAAACGACATAAATCGAAGGAACGCCATCATCACCATCATCGTAGACATAGACGACAAACACCAGCTACAGAATCAGAAGCTACCACTGAATTCCAACATCAACCAGCAAAAGCAAACACAATGCTGACACCACAAAAGAAACGTTTACGTTTAATATTTGGTAATGAGACGCATACAATTGACATTCCGCCAACCACAGCTGAGGCACAAGATGATTCTTTTACTTCATCAAGTAACACATCAAGTAATTCGCTAACGAATATTTCAATGGTAACAACTACAGAAGCAGCCGAATCACCGCAATCAAATACAAGTTCAAACTCCAACTCCAACTCGAACTCCTCAACTTCATCATTTGCCTCGGGATGCACATCAAATTCATTTATTTTACCACATATGGATGAAGCGGAAGCTGCCACAGTCACACCATTGAATATAACCGCATTTACAAATGCAAGTGCTGCTGCTTCAGTGTCTGCAACTGTTTGTACTGCTACTGCCACTGCTGCCGTTGCAACTGCTTTGCACAAACCTTTCCAAAATCATCATAATCATCAAATCAATCAAATGCTACAGTACGGTAGTAGCTTAAGTAGTCAAAGGTCTACAATTATCAATTGCATTTCATCATCCAATACGCCAACAATCACACCCACTCCACATATTTTTCTTTCACAAACTATGCCAAAGCACACATTCGGCTCATGTGCGCTACTAGCGCCCTCGTTCGGTCGAAATATAACTTCAAGCATACCTAATACCACAGCTAGTTTAAATCATACAAGTGTTAAGAAAACGACTGATCTCATAACAAATTGACTTTGTTATTTGCTGTTGGTTACCTCCAAATTGTGGCGTTCTCTTTTTTCATTATTACTATTGTCCAGTCTTGGTTTCCTCTCCAATCTAAATAAATTGAGAATTTTGGGATTTGCTTTTGCACATACCCCGCAGTTACATACTTCCGTAGAAGAAGACTTAAAGACTTAAAGAATTGCACACAATGAAGCGAAAGGAGTTATAGAGCTGTGTATAATTAATATATAAAATAATTGTAGAAACTGTTGAGGTGTATTATTGATTAATAATATGGAGTGTTATTGATAATAGTGATGTGACTTGATCTATATATATTGGAGCAACGCAACTAGTTTTTTTTATTTAAAATAGATTTTAAAACGACCATTGTATGAAATGAATAGTATTGTTTTTGTCTTAACCCAAAGAGATCTGTGGGTCTTGTCAGTGCTGGCACTTCATCGTTTGTATAGACTAAAGACTCTTGGAATTGTATGAATTTGTGTGTGTCTTCTTTTTGTAATATCCCGAGAAAACATTGTTTGTTGTCTTTCGACTGTATTAGTGTGTGCTTGCAGATCTGGCTAAGTAATATCCAAATTTGCCACATATTTCTTTAATGGCATGCTTTTGCGACTTTTGATGTACATTTATGTTGATTTTTATTGTGGAAAGACTGATGATGAGGTATTTTTGTAATCCGTTACGTAAATTAGTGTGTTGGGATTGAAGAGCGACTCTTGAACTCCTGTGTCATGATGAGTGACTGGAACTGATGATAAATTTTTGCTCTGTTAACACAGTGATAAGAGTAGCTAGGAATTTAAATCAGTTTTTAAATTAAATCTCTCTAAGTGGTTCATGAAATCAAAAGTAAAATATAAAATTTTATAATTAATTTTAATAAGTTCAGCACAATAGATCTTATAGGTCGCAGTGTATTTTCTTTCCTAATTAAAAAATTAATAAATGATAAATATTTTATATTAATTTATGTTGATTTATTTATATTAATTTATATTGATTTATTTATATTAATTTATATTGGTTAATTTAAATTGATTTAATTTATATTGATTTATAATTTATATTGATTGCTCAACTATATTAAAATAAATTAATTTATGTTAAATGAACTTATATTAATAAATTAATTTACAATAAATTGATATATATTTAATAAATTTATATAAAATTGATTTATAATAAATTAATTAATTTTAATAAAAATTATTTATATAAAATTAATTTATATTAAATGAATATATATATAATTTATTTAAATTAAATTAATTTATATGAAAATAATTTATATTAAATTAATTTGTATTATATTAATATATATTAAATTAATTTATAATAATAAATTTATTTATATTAAATTATTTAATATTTATCAATATATATTGAATTTAATAAAATAAACTATGTTAATATTAAAATTAATTAAATTTATATATGAATTAATTAAATATATTAAATTTGTATAATAATTAATTAAATTTATTAAAATTATTAGATTTAACATAAATTTAAAAATTTTTTTAAATTCACACAAAGTTTTAATAAATTAGTTTCTTTTAAAATAATTTAAATTTAGTAAAATTATTTAAATGAATATTAAATTTAATAAAACTAACTAAATATAATAAAACTAACTAAATTTAATAAAACTAACTAAATTTAATAAAATAAATATATTAATAATATATATATTATATATAATGTTAATAAATATTAATTTAATATATTAAAGTTGATTCAATAAAATTGATTAAATTTATATGAAGTCTTATAGAATGAATTAAGATTCGAAATTAATTAATTTTATACTAATTAAATAATATTTATAACAAATTTAAAAAAAAATAATCCACATTATATTGAATTTATCTTAAATTTAATAAAATTAATTAAATTTATATTAAATTTAATAAAACTTTAATTTAAAATTTTTAATAAAACTAATTAAATTAATTAAATTAAATTTAATAAAACTTTAATTAAAAATTTAAAATTTTTAATGAAACTAATTAAATTTTTAATAAAGTTATAATTTATTAAAATTTAATAAAGTTATTTAAATTTAATGAACTTCATTAAATCTATGTTAAACTTAATAGAATTAATTAAATTCATATTAAATTAGTATATATTAATATATTTAATTTAATTCAATATATAATTAATAAAATTTTCATTTTATTGGTTAATATAATTAATTTATAATTTATATTGATTAATTGCTTTATTTTAAATATTTCTATTGATTAATTGATTTATATTCTAATATCAAAACTATAGCCGAAAGTGGGTTTTGAATTACTTTTTAAAGTATAGTGCGCAATCTTATTCTCTGGAATAAATCTACAAAATTTCTATATACACTGCTAAGGGTTTTTCTATATTTATACTCTAAGATAGTTTATTGTCTTTGGGATGGGATTTGCGTGAATGGGCAATACTTTTGTCATTTCAGCAATTATTTAAAAATTTAATTAATTTTTTTTTATGAGATCTGTTAATCCACATATAGTAAATCACGTTTTCGTGCTCTTCATGCTTAATGTTGAAGTTGTATGTAAGGGGGTGGCGTTGATATAGGTTTCAGATAGAAATGTTTCATGTGAAATTTACAGAAATGATTGTGGATATTCATTGCTAAATTGATTGTTTGTTTAAATTGTGAATGTGATTTTAGAATTGAACTATATTAAAGTCTTATAAGAATCGTACTTGTTAATGAGCTCTGAAGCTTTGGCGTAGCAACAGTTAGTTTTTGATTTTTGTTTCCAATTTACTGGAAGCAAATATCTTGAAATAATTTGTATCTTATCATGGTTTACTATTTTGAAAAATATGCTACAATTTATTTTATTTATATTCTATATTTTCTAATGTCATAAATGTTTTTATTAAAAATTATTCGCTTTATTTTGAATTTTAATAATTTTCTATTGCTACTTGGCATGTTTTATAAAATAAGTACTTTTATAAAACTAAGACTAACATTGCCTTATGGATTTCACAGATTTTTAATTTTGAATATTCCTTAACACTATCATTAAATAATTTTGTAAAGGTTTTTGGAATGGTAGTGAAATACATTTTATTTTAATTTTAAATATTTGGCTGGCCATTCAGCTTTTTTAAGTATTGCCAAATATTCATCATCAGTGGTTTTTGAAAATAATTGTTGATTTCATAAGGTCGTAATTAATTGTTGAAGTATAATTACCAGGCCTAGAACTGGGAACCCGTTAAAAAAGAAGTAAATGGCTATGCATGTGTTTTTAACCAAACACGCTAGAGCTGCACAAAACTTTTGTTGTTCAAATTTTAAGTTTTTTTTAATTATTTTTTTTTATTAATTTTTTGTTATTTATTTTTTTTTTATTTTATATTTTTTTTTATTTTATATTTTTTTTTTATTTTATATTTTTTTTTTATTTTTTTAATTTATTTTTTTTTTATTTATTTTTATTTATTTATTTTTTATATTTATTTATTTTTTATATTTATTTATTTTTTTTATTAATACAATATTTTTTTTTTCGTTTTACAGTCAAACTTCCATAACCCAAGCTTCTACAACTTGAATTTTATATAACTCGAACTAAATAGAGTGCAACAGGGTCTAGAGAGCAAGTTATATACAATTCTTTAAATCGAAGTCTCCATAAGTCAAACTTTTTCTTCACAAAATCTTATTTCGAGTTATAAAAGTTTAAAAATCAAATTTAATATGGAAATAAAATACTTTGTTCATACTTTAAAGTATTTTGCATGTCCTTTGGTTTTGACGTTTCAATAATTGTTAATTGTCCAGATGAATTTCCCGCGATACCTAGGATGCCGTCAGTACTCGTTAGTTTTCATAGGGAACGCTGAAACTTGTATGGTTGATATAAAGAACACTCGATGAAAAGTTGAGAAAAATATATATTGTGCTCTCTTTCAATTGCAAACTGGAAGTTCTAATGTTCTTTTTTTTTAAACTATTAGAAGCTATATGTACTAATCTAAGCAAGTTTTAATATTGTTAAACTATTGTATATTTTGGCTCACATTTTTTGATCGAACCCTTAAAATGTTTGCAAATGTTTGAGCTGCTTGAACAGCTGTTTAATACACCGTATAATGTTCGAACATTTTCAAGAAGTATGTTGTGTTCAAACCAAATACTAGATTACAAGCCTATTCCAATATCAAAATGCTTTAAGCTTTGAATAGTTCGAATAATACATTTGAAGAACTAGTCCCTAGTGGTTATATACTTCTATATCTATAATTTATTTTGTTAAATGATCAGCTTTTCCTTATTATTGCTTGAACCTTAGATTTATCGGTATATAAGGCGTAAGCAGGCACAGGGTTGTACCTGCTTAAATACTTCTTTCGCTTCGTATGTATGACTTTTTCTTCAAATTTTTGCAAGTTTTATTACAAAAATGTGTTAGTGCTAATATTTTTTTTTAATTTCAAGTTTTTATTAATTATTAAAAATTTTTCAACTAAACTTTTTAGTCTCGTTAGTGCTATCAATTCAATGCTTCTTCATTCATACGTACATAAATTCCCTATTTCACACCCTGCAAATTGATGATGAGCTGTACTGCATTGCGAGTCGTACTACTTGAAAATAACTAAAAATCAAAAAAAAAAAAAGAAATTTAATACTTAATAACTTTTTTTAAACAAATTTAAACTACGAAAATTTATTGTTTGCTTTTCTTTCTTTTTTTTTCTCTTTTTTGCATTGCAGATGGAAATTTAAAACAAAATGATAATACAAATTATGAATATAATAACGTAGATAAAAGAGTTAATAATCATTATAATAATAATAGTTTAAACTATAAATTTAAATTTGATAATAATAAAAGTAATAATAAACAATTAGATAATATTAAACAAAATAACAGTAAAACAAACTTTAACTTAGAACACAGCAGAGAAGATAATAGTAATCGAAATATCTATAAAAGTAATATTATAAGTATTGAAATAAATCGAAATTCTAATTATAAATCTGATAATAAATATAATTTAAAACATAATAGATATAATTTAAAAAATAAAAGTAATGTTAATAATAGTAATGATAGCAGCAACATAAAAAATATGCTTTTAAATAAAAATAACAAAAATATTAATAATAGTACTATAAATAGTAAAAGTAATATAAATATTAATAATAGTACTATAAATAGTAAAAGTAATATAAATATTAATAATAGTTCTATAAATAATAAAAATATTATATATAATAAACGCAGTAATAATAATAGTAATGACGGTTATGAACAAAAAATGGAGAATATTAAATATGATTCAATTAATAGAAAGCAAATAATAATTAATCATAATAATAGTAATGATAATAACAACAACAATAACAATAATAAACATAAAAGAATTTGTATTGAGAGCAATTTGATGATAAAAAAACTTAAAGTCGAATTGAGCCGCGTCCACATGTTGTGTGCAATTGATTAACGCAATTCGAAAGCAAATATGAAATAAATTCTATGAAATTGTTAATATAGCAATGAAAGCCTAAAAACCATATTCAAGAAGAAGTAAGCCAAGCAACAAATCACTGGTAACATATAAAATGTACATTAGAGACCCCACAATAACTTAACAATGCCCACGTCCCGGGGCGGTAGCGTAGCCTTAGAGCCTGCAACCATTTCAGCTTTTAAACGAAATTACTTAGCTTAGCTACTCTACCCGCCCTGGAATAATACTAAAAATTTGCAAAGCCGAGAGCCCCCTCTACTATATATATATATAGTATATAGTATATTATGTGCAATAAATCTAAGCTGTGGTATATAAATATATAACTTCATGCAAATATATAATATA